ATTCTACTCGTCGTTGTTTTATCTGTCTTTCCCTATAAAATCTTGTCGTAAGAATACAATGAAACATAAAAAATCCTTGAATCCTTGAAGTATAAGACACATCCTCATGGCTGAAATAATGCGAAACGTAAGGTGCTGGGGACCGAGGTGTAAATCAGGTGCTGTTTATAGCCTGGTTGCTGCATTTTTCTGAATATTTTTCATCTCCCCATGTTTAATGTTGTTATTAACAGCCTGCACACTGACACCGGTGTCACACAGAACAAATGTCTGAAGTGCAGTCTGACATTTCAATCTCATGAAAATTCCCAGACACCGGGATCCCATTTGTTCAGGCTCGTTCTTTTTTCTCAGTCCTTGACAATGAAAAAAGCTGCATGACTAGCTGGAGTGTCAAAGGAACAGCAGAGGGGAGAAAAAAAGTGTGATCCTTTTGACTACCGGCAGGAGGATTTAGGGCATCCAACAAAGGTTCAGTGACACCTCATTGATTCCTGGACAACAAGTTCAGTATTTGCCGTGGCCATCTGTGGGAGGTCAGAGTTAGCTGTGGAGTCTGGCCATCTGCAGCCAATGGAGATTCACAGGGAATTTTCTTTAACTGAATGTCCTTTCACTCTTTGTAAGCTTTTTGACTTCTTGACTTTGATTGTTGCTGTTGTGTACTGCAGAAAGAAAATGACAGAATTCTTGCCATGCTGAGAAAACCCAGCTGAACAAGCACATTACTACTTTCATGTGAGTGTTTGTCCCAGTGGTCATTAATATCCTGCAGAAACATAAAAAACATGCCCTCAAAGATGTCCAGACCTGGTTTGCTGTACCGTTTAACCCCCTCTTATTTCTCCAGAAATAACTGGTTAATCCCTTTACAGCCACCCATTTAAATTTGAATCAGTTTGATTTTGTCTATAAAGTACCAAATGCCAAATAATACCATTTCTAGGCATTTCAAAGATGCAGAGCAATATAAGCCAGTCCGATCTACTCTGACTATGAGTCAATTAATAAAATACCCAAGCAAAGAAATCTACTAATTCAACCGGAGCAGCACAGGGAGGAGAGATGCATCATGGGAGCCCCCCAGCAGAACTATGGGATGTTTGCCCTTTGACTATGTGAGTCAAAGAGCAGATTCTGGGCAGAAATAGCTCATAGATCGCTAACTGTAGCGCGTGGAGCCAAAGAAATGGTCATACATTTGGGTTTTGTGAACTCTGTTTTGAAGCTCTAGATCCTGTTTCCATGTTCTTAGTTTACTAGGAGTTACTTGGTTCCTCTGAAATGTCTGATTTTCTGTGTTTTATTGTGATGTTCTTTTCGGTTACCTGTTTCTTACTCCTGAGTCTCTGCCACCTTCACTTTCAGCGATCATTTTCTCAGCTCTCCTCACCTCTGCTCCCGGTCCTCACCTTCCCTTCATCCAAGTAATCACTCTCTTGTCTATAAGCTCTTCTGGTCCATTCCTCCTTTGTCAGTGTCTTTCTGTCTCATTCCCGTCTCCACAACTGTTGTCACCTTCTCTCACCCTCGTCTTTGTTCAGGTATCTCTAGCACTTTTTATAAATCTTAGGATTTTTTGTTTTCTGTTGTGTAGTTTGAATCTTCTTCTTACAGTATATCCGGCCCCCCAGAACAATTATATTCTCAATATAAACTTAGTCAATTTGAAGTTCCTAGGTTCCTAGGTTCTTCATCCTTCACAGGCCGAGGCAGATGGCCGCCCACCCTGAGCCATGGTTCTGCTCCAGGTTTCTGCCTGTTAAAAGGAAGTTTTTCCTTGCCTGTGTCGCCTAGTGCTTGCTTATGGTGGGAATTGTTGGGTTTCTGTAATTAACTTCAGAGTAGGTCTGACCTGCTCTGTTTGGAAAGCTGTGAGACAACTGTTATTGTGATGTGGCGCTATATAAATACAATTTAATTGAATCCTTTCCCTCTGCATGGCTCCTCAGTGGCGCTCAATGACAGAATTTCTAGAGTAAGTCCATAATCACATCATTCCTGGATGAGGTGTTCAGTTCCATAGTCCACAACTGCAATTTCGCCTCGTCGACTCGAGATCAGAGCAAATATCGTGTGCTAGTGATGATGATGGAGTAAAACGACCATTCTCAGGCAGCCATGACACCTCTGTCAGGAGAGGACTGAAGGAAATCACCAACTAGGAGCCTTAAAGGTTAATGACCAGCATCTAGCCAACAATCTGAGCGGGTTCTGTTGCCATTTTGACACCCACCACACCTCCACCCAGCCCCACTTCCACCACAACACCTCCCCACAGAGCTTCACACAACACCATTACCGGCTTTAGTTAGTCTGCTGGACGGTGGCTGACACCCCCACCACCCCATGAATTATCTATCCATTTGTGTACACGTGTAAATAGCTGTTCACATACAGTTTTATATGATTCTGATAAATGTGGAAAATCATAATGGTATTTTGTCGTTCATTTGTCAAAACAGACCAACTTGCATGTTATTTCCTTTTCCTGACCTTTTATATCTGTCAGAATAGAAACCGTCCATCACCAAACCCGTTGTTGGAAATCGTAACAGAAAAATCTGCTGTTTTTGTTTTGAGCCAAATGTTCTCATTCAGAGGCTGCGTGATTGGCCGGAACCAGATTTTAAAGCTTGTGAAATATGGAAAAGGCCACGGTGTTGGCTCAGGGCCCGGGCACACACTCCCCCCCCCCCCAGGCAAAGGTCCCAACCCGTGACATCTTTACCTTTTCTCCTTGTGAGTGGAAACGCGCATCGGATTGTTTTGTCATTTGATTGAAATTACCCCCGATTGACTAATGCTTTGCCAGAGTTGAATGGATTTGAAATTTTAAAAAATTGAAAGCGTTTAAAGGCACGAGGTTTGCCAGGGGTCCTTTCAGATCCACTCAAATGTTTTTTAGCCGAGTACCAGGACGGCTGCCAGTTTCCACGGCGATCCCCTCCACCTGTGATGGACGGCCCAGTGCTCGGCCCGCACAAACGCAGCCGTGATTGCACAGAGCCACAATAGAGGAACCTGTGAGCAGCAGATAGAAGGAGCTTTTATAAGCCTTCATGTGGCTTTGAGCAGAAACACAGAGAGCACGTTCAGAGCTGGGGGATGGTGGAGGAATATCTGTGGTCAACCGTGGCTCTGCCAGCCTGCTCCGGCTCTGTCGGGGGAATAATTGAACAAAACTTTCAACTTTTTTTTTTTTACGCTTTTGGTCTGGTGAAGCACGAAATATCTAGGATTAAAAATAAATCCATCAAATTAGTCAATTAAAAGAACAGGCCATTTGATTTAGGTTGCTCTCTTCTTTTTGCACAGGGATGGGATTACTCAGGGACGGACTGACAAGTATTTGACCTTTTACCCAAAACATATCCAAGACACTGATGTAGCTCATTAAGATAGAAATCTCACATATAACTGGAGAAACTGACTTCACTATACCACAGATCATCTTCTCTTTGAGGTTCTTTGGCAGGCTTTTACTACAGATATATTCAAGTGGTTTGTCGGTATTCAGCAAGCAAAATGCAGCTGAATCAGATTATCATATTTAATTTTTTTAAAACTCTGGGTTTAGTTCATGGTCCATCTGAGTCCTGACACTGGACATCCATGCATTTGGAAATCTGCACACACAGTGTTTGACTCACAATTCATCCAGCAGGAAAGCAGTGTCAGACTTTTTTTAATGTCATCACAAAGTGAAAACACTCCTCAGTTTGCATCAAAGTTTATGTTGTGATCAATGTTAATTTATTTTATTAGATTATTTTTTGCATTACATTTGAGCCTTTTTTATTTTAAAGTTTACAGATGTGTTCAATACCAAATGTAGGTGAGAGTGTAAAATGTCAAGTAAGGCCAATGCCGACTTTATCTTCCTCATTTTAGTAATTAATTATTTTCACTCATTTAATTACTCACTTGTCTGGTAAGCATTTCCTTATGCATTATTTAATCATTGGTGAAACAAGAGGTAGTTTGACACAATAGTTGTAATCCTCTTTATGTTTAATTTTTCAGTGTCATGAAATCCAAATTTTTTGTTGTGATTCGCCTCAAAGAAATATTTCGACTGTAGTGGCAGACTGTGAAGATGCCCTGACTTTCAGCAAACCCAAATGTTACAGGTTACAGTCTTATGTTTTATTGAGCTATGAAGACAAAAAATATTTGGTAGCTAATGAACATTGTCTGCAATCATTTTTTAAATTACGACATTAATGGGAAACTTGTTGATGTTTGAATTGTATTATTTTACATGTGTGATTATGTAGGACATTTCCCCTGTTACCAGTAACAGACAATAGGGTATTGTAAAAAGATCCTCATATCAGTTTAAATTATTCATTCTTATGTATTAATGCGCACATATCATTCATTAATTGAATTAATGATAACAAACTATTTAAGTGTATGTTTAAAAATGGGGACCACTAAAAATATTTTTGGGTGAAAAACAGAATAAGAAAACGTCAGGACAAAACAGGCTGAAAATGCATTTAGTTAATATGCTGAACATAGATGGAGTAAACTGTATCTGAATGTCCAATGTGTCCCAACTCTGGACACATTTGAAGTTAAACCCAACACTTGACTGCCCTGTTTTCTCTTTATTCTTAATTTTAATATTTTTTCTGTCCGCTTACAGAAATAAAAAATAGATATTTTTTTCTATTCATTCATTTAATCCGTATGGCTTTATGCAAATACACTTTTCTTGTCTATCTGTAGGTAACAAAAGTAAAGCCACACCTTATTACCAATACTGTATACAATAATGAGAAGAAGTAGTTTGTAAATGCTTTAATCCTGAAGAAATACTGTACAAAATAAACCAAATATTACTACATCTACAACATTTCTGAGAGGTGCAAAGAGCAACAACATAATTGAGTAGCCATTAGTTTACTCGATGCATAGCAGTCTCACTGTCTGTTGATATGAAATGTGGATTTTAATTAGCATTCCACTGGAATGCTTGTTTGTTCTTGTAGAGAGACATGTTGGACGTCAGTCAAATCATGAAGGATCTGGCCAGCATGGTTCACGAGCAAGGAGACACGATAGGTAAGTGTGTACGCGTTGTTTAATTGTGTGTTTAGCACTGTTTACATTGCTCTCTGAGCATGGATAGTCTTTGTGAACCTGCTTTGACATGATACGCTTGATTAATGATGAGAGCTCAAAGATACTTTTAGGCAAAATAAACTTTTTAACCTCTGCTTTGCTGCCGTTGCCATTGTTTTCTCATTTAAAATCACGGAGGTTTGCACAGGCTGTGGCCAGCTGGAGAAGTCCACAACAACCCGTTATCTGTGGAGGCCAAATCTCTGAAACACATGCAGGATTTTAAAACTCCCATAATCCCTTCAGTAACTCTGGAATAGATATGGTCCACTCTTCCATGACCTGGTCAGAAACCACACTGCTCTTCCTGAATCCAAAGGTTGGAGCTTCTTTACCAACACAACATTTCCAGGGAGGTTGAGTAGTTTTATTCTCCTGTATTCGGATCCCAGTCTGTGGTGGCTCTTTCTAAAGACGGGGACCTATTTGTTAGCCAAGACTTACGAATCTCATCCTCTTCCAGAATCACCTTTTTTAATCAATAAAGTAGAAGGGAGGGGCTTTCATTGAAAAAAAGGTTAGGAAACTAATCAAGTCTATCAAAACTGAATAAAAAACATAAAAGAAACCACGCATAAATGCCTCAAGCTTCATGAAAAGCTAAGAGTGTGTGTTGTTTTGTTGGTCAATTAAACATCTTTTCATGCATAACTTCAGGGACAAAAAGGAAGCTGAAAAGGCTCAATCTTAGATCAGCCCGAGGCGGTGGCTTTTCATCTTTTGCATCTTTATATCGAAAAACTGTGTCAATAATGACGACTGTGAGTGTGTGTGTGTGTGTGCGTGTGCGTGTGTGTGTGTGTGAGAGAGAGAAGGGGGCGAATTTCCCTTTCTTTTTCTTTTTTTCTTTTCAGAATGAATAGGGAGCAATAGCTTGTGCTAATTGCTGCTTTTCTGTCTCTGAGTGTCCTTTTGTCTGCTGCCTTCAATCAGGCTAATGTAGTTGACCTTTAAATACCCTTTGAGTCGGGCTAACTTAGGCTGGTGTGGCCTCATTCTGCATGAACAAAATGAATCTTCTTCCTTCCATTCCCTCTTTTTTGGAGCAAACAAATATACGGTCACATATGAGAGTAAAACACAAAGGTCTCATGCTTTTAAAACTATTTATTATCATCTTAAGTCGCAATGAAGCTCCAAAGGAGGTTCATAGAAACCTGTTTTATTCAGTGGTCTCCAAACACTATTTTCTCTACACCAATTCTATAAATTAAGATTTCTGTAAGAAATACCCAGGGAATAAGTATGATTTCTAGAAAGGGTGTGCACATTGCGCAATCGGACATAGTGAGTGCTTACTAACTTTTGAAATAAATTGATTTGGTTCCTACTTTAGAAATCTTGGGTTGGTGGATTTGGTTTGGTTTTCCTGGCCAGCAACAGCATTTAGAAATGAACCATCATGAACGAGTATTATAGACACTCCAGTTAGGATGACTCTGTATTGTAAATCCTGAAAGGGCTTAGAACCTAAAGCGGAGAGTGAAACTGAGTTGTCTAGACATTATACATTTAAAGATATTTTAATGCCCACATCACAGTTATACTAAGTAATGACAAATAAATATGAATGTATAGAACTACGTTAGCAAGACCACTAACAGTAGCCACCTGCTCCTTTTACAGCAGAATAGAAACAGTTAGCTACAAAGACAGATACTGACTCTGTTTCTTTCTGTAATCTTTGGCATGCACTCAGGCATTATCCCGTCTGTAAACAGGGCTTCTTTCTCAGGGTGTTTCACATGAAAGTAGTAATGTGCTTGTTCAGCTGGGTTTTCTCAGCATTAATGTGTTTGCCCATCTTTGTCATCGGCAGCTGTAGTCGCACACTTTTGTGAAAAACTGCCATCACCTTTTCGATCCCCTCAGCAAAACCCTAAAAATAGCTATGCTCTTACTCTCAGAGCGAGGCTTCACCAAAGGAAAAGCTCTCCCTTGTTCTGAATTAATTATAAACTATTAGGAGTTATTAGCTGTGCAAAGCTTATCTGGAGGTGCACAAGATTAAAGATGAAGTGTTTTCTGCGTCTAACAACTTTATTGCACTTTACTCACACTTTAGAACTACTCAAAGTGTACAGATTTTTTTCTCATCCCACACTTTTGTGAAAGACTGTTGTTATTGTGCTTTTGACATGTTAAAGGAACACAGTGTGCCTCCATCCAAATAGGTGAGTATTCAGGGAAAGACTGCAGAGTTCATTATTCCACAGCAGACGTCCAATCTGATCGTGATTGAGCCAGGCAATAATGGACCTTTTCCTTTTTAAAAGTGATGCAAAGAAATTGCCTTTGGCCTTTTAAAAAAAAACAAAAAACACTTTCTTCCTGTAGTGGCTGATATGAATATGTGACTGTGCTGTGGAGGCGTTTTTAGAGTAAGCAGCAATAACACAATGAAATGAATAGGCTGAGGAAGGACAGATTAGCGCTTTCATGGCCTATTCATGCTGGCACATGATTATAGGCACACTATTAAAAGCCGAGTTCAGATACATAATCAGAAAGGTTGTTCAGGCAGGCAGACACTAGTGAAAACAACAAAAGAGATGTTAAAATCCCATTCACTTGTACACATCAAAAGAAGGCATTCATTTTGTTTTTCCGTGAGTATTATGGGAGTGATCATGTGTTATGGTTTTATTTCCTGTAAACCTCAGGATGTCTGACAGATCTGTGTCTCTTTAATATCACTTAGGTTTTAAATTTTTAATTATACATGGAAAATGTAAATAAATAAATACTCTAATTCAAGATACAAGATTTTTTCCTCGTTATCTTCAACCATCTTAATCATCATCAGTCTTCTCGTCACTGGAAAGAGTCTCTGGCATGTTTGAATTTCATTTTAAGTTCTTTTAAAACCTCTTCAAATTGAGGCTTGGGCTTGAGAAGTTTTTAAATGGATTAGCCTTATGGCAGAAAGGGTTAAAGTATCCTATGGATGTTCCACCCTGCACGGTAAATGACCCAAGGAAATTGTTTCTTTTTCAAGCCACATACCGGAGAGAAGTCCCAAGTTTATTCCTTCAGTGTGTGTGTTGGTCTGGGCTTGATAATCAAAGCTCGAGGAAACCAAACCCCCAAGACCATTGTAAAAAGCCCAGACTTTTGATATGAACTGGACAACTGTTTCATTGTTGAGGGACTACACAAACACACTCATATCCCTACAAGATGTGAGTGTATTTAAGGAATCAGCAAAGTTGATTTACCATACCATCCAGTTCCATCCGCTCCCCATTCAGACCCAAACCAAAATAGTCAATAACCATTTTGCTCTTATTTAAATGTACATAGTTAGTTATGAGGTGCTTTCATATATTTGGAATCATCTACATCATTACACTTGTCTAGGCCTATTAACCTCTGGATGTGACAGCCTTAAGAGCAGAGCCATTGCTCTTTTATCCAAGTTAAGGTTGAGCAGTAATTTATGGGAGCAATCCAATGAGCCGTCAAGTCTGCATATGCATCATATCAGCATCAGCAAAGGTTTCTGGCAAAATCAGTCAAAATATGGTGAAAATGCGATGATTTTAAAAATACAGAGTGCATCTTTTTTGTTGGCTTTAAGGAACTCTACACAAAATCTTATAGTTTAAAAAAAAAGTCCTAGTACCAGTTTAATACTGCACAACACCAAGGAAGTGATCACAGTTGTCGATGAATTTTAGAGTGGTAGAACTGATTAGTGAGGACATTGAAAGTATTTACAGACAGAGACTGAGTGTTGCTCAGACAACAACCTGTAAATGACAAAACAAGTCATCGTAGACTTCAGTAAACAGAAAGAGCAACATCAGATACTTCTCATTAGCAATGGCATACTGCGGCTAATCTCCATTTCAAGATTCCTGAAAACATATCTCAGAGGACCTCACATGGACATTAAAGACCAACTTGCTGATTGAAAAAAATCCCAACAATGGCCATTCATCCTCATAATACTCCAAAAACTTGGACTGTCACAACATCCCTTAATCTCCTTCCTCTGCGCCACTGAGAGCGTTTTGACCTTTGGAATCCTCACATGGTACAGCAGAAGCTCAGCAGCAAACAGAACCACTTCTAAACAGGTCATAAAGACCGCCGGACACATCTCCAATACAAACCGGATCACCCCGGAGGACATTTACACCTCATGATATCTCTGGAAGGAACTGCCTCGAGCATAATCAGACGCTGTTACCACCCAGCACACACACTCGTGGATCCTCTCCCACCGGGCAGAAGATAAAGGTGAATCAAGGCACCGACCAACAGACAGGCCAGCAGATGCAGGACTGCGCAATAAATCTTCCAGACCTTTTTTTATTACCTCGGTACTGGTTTGTGGAGTGCATCTGGATCTCATTGTGTTTACTCCGTGTATACAATGACAATGAAAGGAAACTTCATCTTGAAGTCCAGCTGCAATCGGCTGATTTGTGTTGATGAGTCTTGAAGCTGGATGACATGCACATATAAAACAATCCGTTTTAACAGACATGACAAAATAGTAGCCAGCGTCTTCAGGGTGACATGTGGGGGAACAAACAAATACCCAAGAAGCTTTGGGAATGGGTCTTTGTATTCCATGCACATTTTGTTTTCCTTTTTTACTGACTTCTTCTTTCTCTCAGTTATTTGTCACCTGCTGGTTCTGCTGGAGTCGCTTTTGAATATAATCCAGGTCGTCATTATGATGCAGTTAATACTAATTTGAGAAACACTTTGGTTTTACTGAAACATCATTTTGAGGAGACAGATTGGAACACTACAAACCTTATTATACAAGTCAGTTTTTCAGAAAAATTTAAAGATAATTGTATATGTTTAATCATATGATTCCTTGTCATTTGCATACATCTGAATCATAATAAGGTTGCTTAAATTAATCCCCTCTGCATGCGTTTCATCCAACTGACTATATAACAAATGTGCGTCTATAATAAATCCTGAAATCCTTAGCAACTCATCCAGCAATATACAAATTTCAGTTTCAGTTTAAAAGGACTCTCAAATAAATCCAGATGCATTTGATATTTTACTCTTAAAGGTCTTTAAAGTAAGATCTTTCAGACTTTGCTACTTCACATTGGTTGTTCATCTAGAACTCATGTTTAATGATTCTTTCACATTTTTATGAAGTTTGATGCAAATGTAATAATGTCTGAAACCAGACATGTTGTACAGTTGTGCATGGAAGGTGACTGTATTCACTTTACTTTTTTTACAGATAGTATTGAAGATTACATCCAGACCACATCTTCTAATGTGGAAACAGCCAACCAGGAACTTGCAAAGGCCAACCAGTATCAGGTAACCAATGGACCTGGATGCATTGTGGTTTGGTCCTCACCTTGCATGCCCATAGTTTGTTTTAATTTTGTGTACCATGCTAAACCATTGTAATACCCTCACAAGAAGCTTAGCTTGATCAGCCATGCAAACAGAGAATTAGTTAACTAGATTACACAGCTGTATCACATCCCCCACTGGCATAATAGTGCAGCAGGGATGATGTAATTTCATGACATATTTAATGAGCTTTTCAGGTTAGTTGAATTAATCATATTTGTTAGAAACATAAAATGCTTGGCTGAAGTCTTCTAAAACACAAAACCACATGAAGAATGTATATTACCTGAGCTCTGAGATAATGGTTCTAAGTTTTGATTTTTTTTCTAGACTTATTTGTGACTTAGAGAGTAAAATACATTCATTGGCAACCACTTCTACAAGAAATTAAACAAAATGTTTTTGAGCTTTGTATGGATTTGGAATGATTAGAATTTCCCCTATACATCGTCTATTGAAGAGATATTTAATGGGATGCCCAATAGTTTACTATTACTCTTTTTTTAAGGGAACATTTGCATACTTGATCATTCTTTTAGACTACGTCAGTGTACAGAGCTCCATGTGACTTTGTGTGTTGTAAGCCCCAGCTTACAGTAAATAATATATTGAGTGAAGTGTCATGGGGTAAATCAAGTATTTGCCTTTTCACACTGTAGAACTTCATCCAAGCTCCAAATGTGCCTTTCAAGAGACAGTTTTTTGTATAACCCGACATTTAGACAATTAATTGTCTGATATCAGTTCTAAATTGTGAACAAATTGTTGAATTCCATTCACAAATAGTTTGTATGTTTACTAAAGTCAATTTATGTTTATATTTGTAGATATTTATCGAGTAGAGCCACATTTTACCCAAAACCTCTCTGTATGAGAAGTTATATAATCCATCCATCCATTGTCAGGAGGAGTGGTAGTGTAGTGGTTCCAAGCAGATGACATGGGTTCGATTCCCGGCAAATGCAGCTCCTCTGTCCAAATGCATGAACACGAACATGAACATGTCAAAATATCTGGGGTCGGGTCGTGGGGGCCGAAGCAGGGAAATCCAGACTTCCCTCTCGCCTGCCACTTCTGCCAGCCCCTCTGGGGGGATCCCGAGGTGTTCCCAGGTTCAGCCAAGACACATAGTTCCTCCAGTGGGTCCTGGGTCTTCCTCTGGGGCTTCTCCCGGTGGGACATCCGAGGCATCCTAATCAGATGACCGAGCCACCTCAGCTGGCTCCTCTCCACGTGGAGGAGCAGCGGCTCTACTCTGAGCCCCTCCCGGATGGCGGAGCTTCTCACCCTATCTCTTAGGGAGAGCCCAGCCACCCTGCCAAGGACACTCATTTCGGCAAGTTTTATCCGCGGCCATAGATGAGGGTGGGAATGTAGATCAACTGATAAATCCAGAGCTTCACCTTTAGGCTCAGCTCTCTCTTCATCACGACAGACTGCATTACTGCAGACGCCGCACCAATCAGCCTATCGATCTCCCACTCCATACCCCTATTCCTGAACAAGACCCCAAGGTACTTGAACTCCTCCACTTGGGGAAGGACGTCCACTCCGACCCGGAGAAGGCACTCTACCCTTTTCCGGTGAGAGACCATGGTCTCGGACTTGGAGGCACTGATCCTCATCCCAGCCGCTTCGCACTCGGCTGCGAACCGCTCCAGTGAGAGCTGTAGGTCCCGACTTGATGAAGCCAACAGGACCACATCATCTGCAAAAAGCAGAGACGTGATCCTAAGGCCACCAAGATGGACACCTTTGATGCCTCGGCTGCTCCTAGATATTCTGTCAGTAAAAGTTATGAACAGGACCGGAGACAAAGGGCAACCTTGGCCGAGTTCAAATCTCACCGGAAACAGATCCGACTTACTACCGACAATGCAAACGAAACTCTGACTCCGGTCATACAGGGACCGAACAGCCCGTAACAAAGGGCCCGGTACCCCGTACTCCCGGAGCACCCCCCAAAAGATACCCCAAGGGACACAGTCGAACGCCTTCTCCAAGTCCACAAAACACATGTGGACTGGTTGAGCAAACTCCCAAGCACCACCCAGGACCCCGCTGAGGGTATAGAGCTGGTCCAGCGTTCCACGGCCAGGACGAAAACCACACTGTTCCTCCTGAATCCGAGGTTCGGCTATCCGACAGACCCTCCGCTCCAGAACCGCCGAATAGACCTTCCAAGAGCATGATCCCCCTACAGCTGGAACACACCCTTCGGTTCCCATTTTTAAATAGGGGGACCACCACCCCAGTCTGCCAATCCAGCGGGACTGCCCCTGATGTCAATGCGATGCCGCAGAGTCGCGTTAGCCAACACAGCCCCACAACATCAAGAGCATTGAGGAACCTCAGCCAAATATCATCCAACCCCGAAGCCTTTCCACAGTGAAGCTTTTTGACTGCCTTGCACACCTTCCCCACCTCTTTTCATCTAGGTGTTCTAACATCCATCTCATGAGCTATCTTCCCTAATGGTGGCATGTCCGGTGGAAGGCCAACTACTCTCTACTGCTCCATCCAACCTCAACCCTAACCAGGAGTCATGTTGCAGGCACAGCAACCGAATTAGGGAAGCCCAGACTTCCCTCTCCCGGGTCACATCTACCAGCGATTTTACAGTGCTTATTCTCATTCCAACCACATGACACTCCGGTGGAAATCGCTCTAGATTTCGAGATTATAACGATCGGGAACAGAGGAGCTAAATTCAACCAGAGAAGATCAGAGGGCAATAGAGAACAGGTTATTGAGGCGTAAACTACTGTAGGTAATTGGTGGTTAAAAGAGAGGCACCGGGTAAGAATCGTGGTGGCAGAGACAGGCACGATGATCAGAAGGAATAGTCCAAAGACTGAAAGCAGATCCAGAGCGAGATCAGAGATCAAGGGGAAAATCCAGAGCAGAATCCGGCGGCAGTGTCAGGGTACAGTGACAGGTCAGAGGTCCAGGCAGCACAATAATCGGGTCCGACAAGGCAGGCTCAGAGAATTCAGAGGGCAGAAATTGGTCACCGGTGGCTCGTAATAATTTGGCACCAGATACTGGTCTGAGAGCTGGTTATATAGTCAGAGGTGCAGGTTGATCTGGTTAAAGGCTGATGAGAATGGGGCGGAGCTGCACAGGTGTGTCGAATGATTGATCAGACCAGCACTAGTGCCAAGACAGAGATTCCCAATGGGCCAACAGAACTACATCATCTCCAAAAGGCAGAGATCCAATGATGAGGCCACCAACATCAACACCGCTGCTGCGCCAACCAATTCTATCCCTAAAAGATATGAACAGAATCGGTGACAAAGGGCAGCCTTGACGGAGTCCAATCCTCACTGGAAACAAGTCCAACTTACCTCTGGCAAAGCTGACCATACCCCGGCAACGGTAATACAGGTACCAGGAAAGCTCAAGGGTTGGGTATTCCATACTCCCAGTCCACAAAATATATGTACACTGCTTGGGCGAACTCTTATGCCCCTTCCAGTAGCCTGAAGAGGGCCAAAACACTGCTACACAGCTCAAGATCAGAATATGTATTTCTTAGATATTCTTCTACCTCTGACTTTGCTGCTTTAAGATGCCTTTTCCTTTCCTAGATAGACAACCCTTAAAACTAACTTGAACGGCTGCTTATAAAAAGCAATCTTTACATATTCTTCCTTCTTTCTCTTTTCCGTAAAATATTCTGCCCTTCCAAGTACTGCTAGCAGGCCTCTCGACTTTTCCTGCAGAACAGTCATTCCCTCCCTCTCTTCCTCTGTAGCTTTTTCCCACTGCTTTTTCAAGTGTCTTCTTTCCTGAACCAATTTTTCAATTTCTCTTAGCTGCCTAGACTTCATTAAATGTACTCTTTCAACCCTCTTTTTTTACCCTGCACCCCAAATCTCTCTACACCGTAGTAGTAAATTATATCTCCAATCCTATCACTTGAACATCCACCTAACCTACCTAATATTATTGACAGCCTCCCATTCTTTCCTGCTTTTTTCCCTTGACCAGTTAACTCTTGCTCTCTGTTCATCTTTCTCTCTCTAACTGGCCTGTTCACCTCAGTATCCGCTGCCCCTCCTTCTCCAACTCCATTGCTAGGTTATTGATATCCTTCCAACAGTTGTCAAGGATTAATAAAAATGTGCCAACATATATAATCATTTTGTCATTGTGTAGAGAGACTGTGACACCCTGTCCTGGATGCAAACCACCACTGTGAGATTAAATAACAGCTCCACAAGCACATGACACATCACAGGACAGCCAGCATTTCAGGCTAAGACCCAGCAGTTCAACTCAAGGAAAAGGGACTCAGGGAAGTAATCTACACATTCTGAACAGAGAAGACAGATGGTTTGAGAGGAGGGTAATGGAAAGCCATCTATGTCAAACTGCAAAAAAAGAAAGAAATGTAATAGAGGAGGGAGTCTCAGGTATCACTTTCCAAGCCCTTATATTGCAGCTACTCTCTACTCTCCCCACTCTCCCCCCAAGGTAGTTTCACAGCCACACCATGGACCCTGTAAGTCAAATAAGATTTTCAGATATTTACAAAAATCTAGAGGTGAGAATGATTCTAACAACACACACAGTCACCAGTAACCAGTAACTATTCTTTCTACTTTAACATCCAGTCCAGTTACCTTTACTTTGGATCTGAAACAGGCTTTTCCTCAAGAATGTGACTCTATCCATTTCTACTTTAGCGTTGATCCAGTACCTGCCAATAAAACCATCATCTTTCCCTTTGGGGATGCTGTCATTAGGGTGTCCTAGATTTGATGGCCTTGGTAACATGAGGTTACTTGATGTTACTTGCTTGTTTGGTACTCTTGATGAGTGATGCAACTCTGTGTTTCTTTAGAAAAAAAAAGGTTTGTAAGTGTACACTTAGTTTGTACGCAGATGGACCTTACTCAATAGCTCCTTTTTATTTTGAAGGTTATTGCTAAGAGGATCTTGCTTTTCTTGGT